TTTTTTGTTTTGTTTTTTTTAAACCCAAGCTTGAAGTTGAATTTTTTTTTTTTTGTCCTTTTTAGTATTTATAAAAGCGTTAAATGTGTTGGGTCATTTAACTGAAATTCAAACTTCTGGTTGATTTTTTTTTTTTGACTAAAAGGAGAAAAAAAAAAATAAAACCAAAGAAGTGTTTGCAAAATGTTGCCCATCAGGCAAATGAATTAAAAAGTTGTGGGTTTTTTTTTTTTTGTTGTTTTTTTTTTCCCTGTTTGTTTTCTTCAAACCAACCACCCTGAAAGTTTCCACATTTGGAATATAGATACAACAGTGAACAAAAAAAATGTGGCCTTCCATGTACATCTGAGACCTATGTACAAGTATTCTATACACCAGTAAAACAGCAGGGCAATTAGTTAATTAAAAAAAATAATTAGTACATGTTATGCATAATAAAATTAAAGAAATTTACAAAGGCTTTGCTTTTTTTTTTTTTTCTTTTTCTTTGTTTTGTTTTGTTTGTTTGTTTGTTTTTAGCAACCGTAGAGGTGGATTTTTAGTGTGAATTGGGGTGTTGGTGGTTGCTGGTTGTGGGGGCCGGGGGTGGCTCTGGTGGGGCCACCTCAGATGATGCCGTTGGGGGGGCCACAGATGGGCCCCAGGTCCACCCCGTTCTTCATGTAGTACTTCTCCAGCTTGGCCAGGATGTGTTTGCCGTAGGTGTATTTGCGCAGGGTCGCGATGTGAGGCCGGATCTGGGAGGGGAAAAGCACAAAAAAGTGGGATTTAGGAACCTGTGTCACGGTCAGGTCCGTCCCCAGCGAGCTCTGGGTCCTGCCAGAGTGGCAAAAACACCTGAGGGATCACAGAATATCCAGAACCCACAAGGGTTATCCATCCCACTCCTGGCCCTGCACAGACACCTCAACAATCCCATCATGTATCCCAGAGGATCATCCAAACCCTCCTGGAGCTCTGGCAGCCTTGGTTGGGGCTGTGCCCACTGCCCTCACAGGGGGGATTTTTCACCTGGTCAAGCAGGTGAATCATGGATTTAAATTTAGTGGTTTCACACCAAAAGAGGGTTAAGATGGGATACTGGGAAGAAACTCTTCCCTGGGAGGGTGGGCAGGCCCTGGCACAGGTTGGGCAGAGAAGCTGTGGCTGCCCCTGGATCCCTGGAAGTGTCCAAGGCCAGGTTGGACGGGGCTTGGAGCCACCTGGGCTGGGGGAAGGTGTCCCTGCTGTGGCACTGGATGAGCTTTAAGGTCCCTTCCAACCCAAACCCATTCCAGGATTTCATTATTCTGACTTTCTGCTCTCCAAGCAGGAGCTGCAGCCAGGATGAGGGAACAGCCAGGCCACATGGACAGCATTCCCTGCTCCATAGGTGGACACATCCTCACCACTGACCATCAACCTCCCATGGGAAACCCATCCCAACCTTATCCTCTGTCAGCAGCTCAGCCTCCAGCCCTGTAAGCTCCTGTTTCACCTCCAGGACCCACTTCCCAACCACCACCAACCCCTGCCCTGGCTCCCCACACCCCATTCCCAAGGTCTGATGGCTGTGCTGAGGAAAAGGAGCAGTGAAGCTCCCCAGGTCCCACAGTTCCTTCTTTGTTCCCCTTCATCCCCAACACTACCCTTTTTCTTTACTGACAGGACCGTTAAAATGACTCTTCAATTCTGTTTTTTCAAACAAATCGCCCTCTTTAACCCCGCACAAAGTGCTGTTTGTACAACAGCCACATTCCCAATCCAGAGCAATTTCTAAAGTGCATGAGCTCCACTTTCCCAGACTTTCCTTCAGCCTGGTATCACAGCTCAAATCTTCCTATTCACTCAGCCCTATTTAGCTGTCAACCCAGTGCTATTTTTGACAGCCCCACTGATAATCTAATTTGCATTTGATTCCAAAGACTTTGCTTGACAGGAAGAAGAAAGTAACATCAGTGATGATAATTTGTGTATTTTTCTAACATACAGCTCTCTGTTATAGATTAGCAGAGCTACAGCCCCTTCTGCTGCAGTTAAATTGGGTGTATCCCTTGCCAGACATCTCCATTTAATTATCTTCAGCGTTTCTTCTGGACTAAAACAGATTCTGGTTTAAAAGAACTACTCTGAGTGATTCCTAAATGTAAGAATTAACCTTCCTGAAGATTATTTCAGCTGTTTATGTTGATTAATCTACTGAACAACTGCCTTCTGAAAGTAAAAGCAGCTCACTCACACTAATTCCCACTATTTATAGAAAACCCACTTGGTCTGTTTTACTCAAGGATTCTTAAATATAGTATGAAAAAATCTTCATTAGGATTTCAATACCTGACACTGTTCACACTTCCTCTTAAAAATAAATCAATGAACAGGGGGTTTTCCAAGTCACTGTCAGGCAGGATTTCATTTCTATTAAGAGCTCTGGATGGAAATGAGGTTTTTCATCAAGGAACACACCCCAAAAACATGTCCCTGAAGAAAATAACCTCAGTTCTATCACCCAATTAAATCCTATTATTTTCCATTCCTTGTAATTACAAAGCCCTGCAAATGTGACCTTTCATGGCAGGGAAAAATGAAGACATTCCCTGATTTCAGAGCTCCCTGCCCTTGGGACAGCAGGCAAACAGCCCTTGGGGCAGGACTGGCAGAAAGGGAAATTTCCTTCCAAAATGGCTTAATTTTCGACAAATATGAAGTTCCAGGATGGTTCTGCCCTCAAACATTGCAGTATAATGCTAAACCAGACAAGTTCTGGACATCAGCAGGAATTTCCTCACAGAAAGGTTGTTCAGGGGCTGCCCAGGGAGGTTTGGAGTCCCCACCCCTGGAGGTGTCCAAGGAAGGACAGGACGGGGCACTCAGTGCTCTGGGCTGGGGGACAAGGTGGGCACTGGGTGGGCTCCATGAGCTGGGAGGGCTTTTCCAACCTCAAGGACTCTGAGATTCTGTGAAGTTTCCCATTAAAACTCATTCCAAAGCGCCCAGCAGATGATCTGGCTGGTGGGGTGCGCTCGGAGGGGTCACCCCAAAGCCCTCCCGAAGGAACACAGGGACAGGGAGGGCTGGGCAGGTCTGGCTCAGCCTCACAGAGCGCTACAACTGCTCTCATCAGCCACAGCTGCTCAGAGAGGGCAAGGGTGTCATCATTGCCAGAGCCCGGGGACCCGCCACCAGCACCTGGACACCAGTCCTGGGGGGCTGAGCAGGGTGTGCTGCGAGGGCAGGGCTGGGTCAGGGGGGCACAGGGACTGTGGCTGCGGCTGTCCCTGGATCCCTGGAAGTGTCCAAGGCCAGGTAGGAAGCTCATTCCAAACCAATCCTCAGCCTCATTCTCTCTCCTCATCCACAGCGACGAGCTCTGCCTCCTCACCCACCCACGGCAGCCGCTCACCTTGTGCATGACAATCTTCCTCTGGGCTGGCTCTGCCACGTCGATCATCTTCTGCACCACGTAGTTGGCATATTGATCCTTCATCATGGTGTATAAGGCACTGTGGGGGCCGTCGTTCATGGTGCACACCTCGTCGATCAGCATGGCCCGCTCCGTGCGCGACGCGTGCGTCACGCACTTCTCCACCACGTTACTGCAACGACACGGCAGGGGCACCCCGTGAGCCACGAACCCCCTCTGGGCCTCCCAGCCAAGCCCAGGGAGGTCTCTCGTGCTGCCAGAGTAGGTGCCACCTCTTGTGCAAATTCTACAATGATCAGTGTCTGCTCTCAAAGTGTGTCCATCAGAGAATCACAGAATCTCAGGATATTCTGAGTTGGGAAGGACCCACAAGTGGAATGGCCCATCGAGTCCATTCCTCTCCACCACAATGACACCACAACGAAAATCCAGGGCTTTCCAGCCAACCCCAGGGAAATCTCTCAAGCTGCCAGCAAGGGCAGGTCATTTGGGACAGAGGGAGGTGCTGGTAGAGTTCAGTGAGGTGAAATACGAGAGCCAAACTTGGGATCTGTGAGGGAATTTGGGAAATGGACCAGATCAGGTTTTGTTTCACCCAAATCTGTGCAGTTCTACAATGTTGTGTGAGATCACTGCCTGTTCTCATCAGAGAATCACAGAATATTCTGAAGGATACTGGAAGGGCCCCACAAGGATCAGAGTCCAACTCTGACGAAGTAAATGGTCCACACAGGGATCAAACTCACAGCCTCGGTGTTTTTAGCACCAGGCTCTAGAAGGAGTTATTTTGTTTGGTTTTCTCTGTACTGGAACACAATGGGAATGGAGATCCAAGGTTAGAACAACAGGGAAATGCTTATTCAGGAATGAAAAATCTCAGCAAAGGCAGAGAACTTCCAGAATTCCTGAGTATATTAACGAATCGTCTCCGCTCTCCGGAGAGCCAAGTTAAGTAGGATACATGAAAGGGGACCAAGACATGTGCTGGTCTCATCTTCCACCATCCCTGCCTGACTCACAGAACCATCAGTGGTTTGCTCAGCTCAGGGGACATCCCACACTAATTAATGCTCCATCTGGAAAGGAGTTTAGGAAAAAAGAGCAAGGCAAGTCAGGGAGGGGAAGAACCTGAAATAACATGAAGACCACACTCTCCTAAATCTCATTAATGTTACACCTCCCTTGTGTCCCCAAGTGCTGAAGCACTATTTTACTCATCACAGAAAGGGGGAATATTGAGCCTTTGAAGCGCTCAGCCTTCATGTTCAGTGGCTGGAAGCACATGCAGCAGGAATTTACACAGGTGGGAAGTGTTGCTTTGTCCTCACAGCCACAAAGGCACCTGGATTTTGCTTTACCCACATGTAGCTCTGCAGCATTTGGAGTCAAAGCTGGGAATGCTGAGAGGGAATCCCTGTGCACATCTCCAAAGGGACTGCAAGGCTCAGCACATCAAAATGCTGGGAAATGGTGCTGTGAACATCAATTCTTCTGTGAAAAGGGTTTCTCAAATGCCCTTCACAGCATCCCGGGGGGGAGTGAAACGCTCTGAGGGCATGTTATTATCAAAGGACAGTGACCACTTCAAACCCACCAAAATAAATCAGCTAAAACACACAGGAACTCTTGGCCAAGTTCAGGAGCTTGGATCAGAGCTCCTCTTCCACATTCACATCCTCCTTCATTACCCTAAGACTTACCTTGCCGATGCACCCCAGGTTATAACAGCTATAAATAACATTTTTTTTTCTATTAAGCAAAAAGTTATTTTCACCTATTTCACACCTTCCTACAACCCACCCCTAACTCTTGTGTGTCCATCCTCCCAGAGGGCTGGGGGCTTTTAGGAAAGAATTCATACCTAGCAAATTTATGTTGACTCAACACGAGCACGTTGCCTCTAATTTCTGCTACAATCTTGCTCTTATCCTCGGGCCGACCATGTTCTAGTACATGCTGGATAACATAGTTCCCATACTGATCCTGTTTGAGAGACAGCAGAAGTGTGTGACAAAAGGTGGACAGGAACCATTCACAGCAAACCAGTTCCCCAGATGCAATCAGAGTTACGACCTTCAGCTAAAAACTGATTAAAGTATCTACTGTATAAATCGTCTCAGTACTTTCTATTCCCACCAAAAAGTGCATTCTAAATCCATTCTAGAGTAGAAAAATGCTACATTCCTGAAGCAATGATATCCACTGTAAAACTCAAACCAACGTTCTTCCACAGGAAATGTCAATATTCTGCTCATTCCCAGTTTATTCCCTTTCTCCAGGTTCAAATCTATTAAATCTCGTGTCCTGGAGGGCTGGGCCACAAGACATTGTCCTGAAGCATGTTCATGTTCTGAATTTGGGGATACTCAGAGCCCAGGATATAAATACTGCAGTCCACAATCCCAGAAATGCCCTGATGCCTCAAATCCATGCCCAACCTCTTCCCACTTCCCAAATCCTGAGCCACACGGGACAGGCTTTGTTTGCTGGATTTGCTCAGTCCACTGTGCCCCAAAAGCAGGATCCATGTAAAATCCTCCTAAACCAGGTTCTCAGAAGGACTGCAAGGAAGAGGAAAGGCAGCCAGGAAGGGGGTGTGCATAAAACCAACTCATTTTAAGAACAATTACTTGGCACTTCCTTTTCCTGGGAATAATCAGCTCTTGGCACAGGCTCCCTTCAGCTCCCACTTGCACTGGTGACTTCTGGAAGCAAGCACCAAGACATGCTTCCACTTGGGATCCATCCCAAAGGGGAATGTCACTACACCTCTGCTACCCCATGGACATGTGCACGTGACCAAAGCAGCCAGTGCTGATCAATTCCTGCTTTCCCTGCTCCTTCCCATTCCTCCTGGGAAGGGAATCCCCATGTTCCCACAGCACCAGCAGCGCTACAGCCCCGCACAGGCTGCAGGAGCTTTCCCAGCACGAAGCAGAGACCCAGAAACACCTCCCAGCAGCTGCATCCCCCCCCTTCCCACACCCACCTGGACCAGCTGCTCGGTGTGTTGGTGAAGCTCCTCCAAGATGGGCAGGGTCTGCTCGGGAAGACAGTGCTCCAGGATCCTCTGGATGACGCGGCAGCCGTAGGGGTGCGTGGACAACGCGAACACCTGGGCCCAACAGAGACAAAGCACAGGCACCAACACCTCCATTAGCCCTTGGCAAGCCTAGGAACCTTCCACACCTTTCTCCTGGCCAGCTCCAGACAGCATCCAATGCAAGTGGAAACATCTGCTCCCTGCTGGCAGGTGATCACACCCCATCCCTACCTGCGCTTCAGCATCCCCATCCACGGGACAGGAAAACCAATGGTAAAGCCTCTTGATTAACAAAAGAACCCTGGGACAACCAGGCTCTTATTAGGAGCTCTGCTTCAGAGGAACAATTCCAACACGTAATTTGAGCTATGTAAGAAATGGTATCAGCCAGGAAAAGTTAAAAATGTCCAGCAAAGGATTTTCCTCAACTGTTTGGATTTGTTTAAAAGCCGTAACAGTGCTTAGGAGAAGTGACAACAAAGAACCCATCTCCTTCCTAAAGGATTAGCAAATCTGTGGGTAAGAACACGACACGTTGTGTTACTGCTGCTCAGTTTTGTGTCCCGTTTGGCTGCCCCGAATTAACAACGGCAGCAAATCCGAGCACTGAGGTTAAATCGACAGTTTGAACGTTTTTAATAATGACTGAGTAAACTGTGCAGGGAAACAGGGCTTGGAGTGCAATTAAGTGCAGGAAAAGAGTCTGGAGGTGATAAGTTTGATCCTCCGTGTGAAGGTTCAGATGAAACTGGGATGGCTGGTCAAGGAAATGTCACTGCCATCAACTTTCTGCCTTCCCAAACCCCCTGAGGAAGGGCCAAAGCTGAACTCCAACCAGCAAATCTGCTGAGCAAGTTCCCAGCTAGAATCATGCTTGTTTTGACACAGCCAAGCAAGTCTCCATTTTCCCAGCTGACCCAGGACTAAGAACTCCTGGTTCCTGCTGGAATAGCCCCCCTGGTTGTCCTCACATCCCTGGGGCAAATCCCTCAATACTTCCAAGTCCCCCTGCAAAGCCAACTAAGCTGAGGTTGGGAACACCCAAAGTAGCACCCCTGTAATGGGAGATGAGCTGACTGCAGGCAGAGTGAAGCCAACTACACAACTGGTATCGATCCAGGAGAGCACAGCAATAAAAAAACCATCAGAATCAGGCACAATTGCCCTTTTCTAGATTAAACTCCAATTTTTCCTCTGGTCTAAGGCCCTTGGGAATCAGCATTCCTCCTAATCCCCCCCTCACAGACAGGGATCACAACGAAAGTTTGCTCCAGCCAGCACAGCACTCTGCTCACTGCCAAGATGGATTAGGGAGAGACTCGTTTTCCCTCCATCAGTCAAAACCACTTGATGTTCCAGAAGAACAGCCTTTTGCAGGGATGCTTTGCTGTGACAGATCTGCACAGAAATGATAACACAGACGTGACCAAGTTGTTTCAGGGCTCCCTCCCGCGGCTGCATCAACCTTTCAACCGACACTTGCCGAGATTTACAATTCCAGAGAGTTCGGCAAGTCACAGCCACTCTCAGGCTGCTAAAACCAGGAATACAAGGAGTGGGAACTTACCTGGCCCTTAAAGGCATCAATGATGAACTGCAGGGACTGAGGCTGCACACACTCAATGCACTTCTGCACCACGTGGTTCCCGTTCTGGTCTTTCACACACTTGAGGACGTGCCCGTCCAGCTCCCGAACCATCTCGTTCTATGAGGGGCAGAGAGGACAAACAGAAAGCACCACCAGCATTCCCAGCTGAGGAAGGCACTGGTAATACCCTGCTCAGGGATTATGACAGGTATGAAGGGTGTACTTCTAACTGGGAGTTCTCCAGTGGCCAAGTGCCGGGCTACAGAAACTGTCAGGAAAAATCCTACAGTGACATCCTATTGGAAAGCTGGGCTGGTGGAAGGTGTTCCTGCCATGGCAGGGGAGGGACAGGATGACCTTTAAGATCCATTCCAACCCAAACAATTCCATGACTCTAGGAAGATGAAGCCCTCCTCCCATTACCCAAGAAATATTAAAGACATTTAACTGAGTCACAACTCCCCCGTGCATCCCCCATTTTCTCCTCAAAGAGAACAAATCTAAAATGCCCAAAGTTCACAAACTTTCTGGGTATATCAGTGTTCCATGTCACTAAAATGGGCTCACAGCTCTGGGATCTGAACTTGCTGGTATTTAGTGACTGAGCAGATGAAGTTGAGACATGACTAAGGTACCCCACGTGCAGGCTGAAAGTTTCCCTCAGAAACAAAGAATGACACTTCTGGGGGGATTTCAATGCTATGACAGACACTGGATGAGTTCAGTTTGTAACTGAATCCAACCCAGGCGTTTTGGGAGCACCGAGAACTCCAAAATGCCATTCTGGAGGAAGACACTAAATCCTTGGAGCAGCATGACTGGAGCTCGGGCACCACCCTGCTGACACACTGAGGCTTAGCTCAGGCTCAGCCTAAGGGAAGGAGCATTCCTAAAGCCTCTTTCAGTTCCTAATTTAATAACTTCCATTGAGATTCCTGTACCACAACTCCCAACCCCTTTATGAGCAGCCTGCCTAGAGTATTTCTCATCATAATTCATTGTTCCCAAAACCCTTGAGGAAGTGCTTTATTAATGAGCTCTGAGTGGGACTCTGGCTATCAGCCACAACTCTCCAGTGCCAGAACCAGGAGCTCCTCATCCATCTCCCTGCAGGAAAGCAGAATATTGACCCACATAGCAAGGCAGTGATAACTCGGTGAATATTAAAGGCAAAACTCTGGCTTCCTTCAAGGGATTTCAAAATATCTTTTAATTCATCCTCATTCTCAGTTTCCCCTCCATACATAATCTGCTTCCAGGGAATTAACAGAGCCTCACGCCCAGGTAAGTGGAACAAGCAGATGGCACAAGGTGGCATGTACTCATCATGCACACGGGAACACGACAAAACACACCAAGAAACCAAACCAAAGGCACACCAGGCACAGGAGGGACAGAAGAGCAGGTTCAGGAATGTTAAAAAATAAAAAAAAAGCACATCAAGAAGAAAGTTAAAATTGAAACTTACAATTACCTGCTGGTCTGGGGGGATGAACTCCAGGGCCTTCTGGATCACCCTGCAGCCGTACATCTGCAGCGCCAGGGACAGCACGTGCCCGCGGATGCGCTCTGCCAGGGCCAGCTTCTGCTCCAGGCTGCCGAACTGGGGAGGGCACAACCAGTCACTGCAGGCACAGCCCCATCCCACGGCCACACGTGGCGCGGCTGCCACGCTGAGGGGGGAGGCAGCAAGCTCTGGGAAGGCGGCAAGTGCCCACCCTCCACCTCGGTGCAGGTGAGTTGTGTGTCTGCCTGACACGTGTGAAACGCTCCTGGAGCCACTAACCCTGGACAGCATGGATAGACAGGTCACAGCCCCAAGGCTGCCAGAGCTCCAGGAGGGTTTGGACAACGCTCCGAGGGACAGGGTGGGATTGTTGGGGTGTCTGTGCAGGGCCAGGGGTTGGACTGGATGATCCCTGTGGGTCCCTCCCAGCTCAGAACATTCTGTGATTCTGAATTATTGGGCACAAGCACCACGAACACTTGTGGAGAAGGACCAGACCAGTGCCAGAGGGAGGGATGAGGGTGTGTGCCCAACCTCCTGGTATTGGAACACAACATTTACCCAGCAGATGCTGTTTGCTGGAAAAGTTTCTCTTCTTCCTAAATACTGAAAACTCAGCACAGCATCTCTGAAAAATCTTGGATTTACATCTCACAGAATCCCAGAATGGTTTGGGTTGGAAGGGACCTTAAAGCTCATCTCACTCCAAGCCCCTGCCATGGGTAACCTGACACTGGAAGGTCACATCTCCTGGACATGGTGTTATTTATTCCTCCACCTTTTGCATCTCACAGAAAAATGTTACTTTCCAGCTGAATCTTTATGAGTCCCAGACCTCAGTGACTCCAGCAGGAAAGATGCAACAGCCTGTGGGGAAGAGGTGACCTCAGTGCTGACGGTTATCCATGGATTTAGCCTAATGGCAGGGTTTCCATAAGCACATCCAGTACCTCAGGACAGCAGGGGAATGCAGACTTACTTCAAAGAACTTCTGGATGACGTAATTTCCAAACACATCCACCATGAGCTGATAAGCTGCCTGGAGGATCTCGTTGAACACCAGCTGACGCTCTGCTGGGGTGGCACGTTCCAGTTTCAGCTGAATGAACCTGGAAAACAGGGCTGGTGTGATGCCACTGGCACATCTGTTCATTCAAACCCTCCCAAAAGCCTCACGAGCGCGTTCCAGAAACCACCACGAAAAATCCTATTATGATAATGACAATCAATTGCTCCTTTCATTAACCAGGAGTGTCCCCTTAGAAGTTACATATCCAAATTTCAGAAATTTAACTGATCCACAGTTTGCAAAGGTCTCACAAACCATGTCTTTCAAACACAGCTGCTCTAACCCACCTTGGGGTGGTCACAGCCATGGGGTTCATGGACAAACACCACTGTGGGTACCCCAAAAATCTCCTCATCCCAAGCAAAGCAGATCTCAATGAAGAGGTACAGGAAAGTCTCGTGTCCAGCTGGCTCTTTATAATGAGTTAAGCTGTGCCAGTGGGACTAACAAGCAAATTACAGAGCAGGCAGGCTCCTCTCTAGAGGAGGAACTCCTGCTATGGGCACTTGTACCCAAGGTTTAAGGGGTCAGTGTGACACAGCTTGGCTTTCCACACCTCCTACTCCTCATTCCACCTCTCTGCTTTGGGACTGTAAGGGTAGAAGACCCTTCTGGAAGATTTATTATAGGGAGATCAAGGCTAATATTGCTTAGGAGGACTTTCCTGCCTGGAAGAGGCATCTTCCCCAGGGAACAGCTTTAGCTGTTTTCTCCTTCTGCATTCCAGAGAAACTCTCCCTGGTATGAGGAAAAGACAAATCCTTGCTGACACCTTTGAAGGCTCAAACAGAGGGTGGGGTGGGGATGATAAAAGCCCTGAGAAGAACAGGGGGGCATGTCTTTCCCCAGGCCTGGTGTCAAGGTTAACATTAACAATGTTCCACACCCCTGTTACCGCTCATAGGAAGCTTCTTTTGTCTCAAACCGCTTGGAGGGTTTGGATACTTCTGAGCCAGGTTCTTTTTTACTACATGTAACTCTTCTCCTTTTTACAGGACACTTCACCACACTTAGTTCTACAGAGGTTATTGAGACACTAACACAGCCAAAATAAATGCTACGTCCAAAGACAGCAGTATTGGTAATATGTTAAACGATCAGTGCAAGAGAAGAGAGAGAAGAAGAACTTAAATACTGCAGCTGCAGAAAGCATGCCCAGCAATACTGACAGTTCTTTTAAAATGCTGATTTCTGCAAACTAACGTTTCCTTTCCTCTCAAACGTTTTCGACCTCGGGAAATACATTTCCCTACAATCCTTCCCGCTGCCCGGCATTCTGGGGGTACCCAAGCGCTCTCCTTGCTCACGGGGACTCAAACCACAACCCACACACCAAGCCAAAGGCTCTCAGCCCCACCTGGAGCCGTGCTGGTCCTGGGAGAACTCCATGATGTGGCCGGCGATCTCGCGCAGCTGCAGGTTGGGGTAGCGGTTGTTGCGGAAATCCTCGAGCAGGCGGCTGCGGCCGGAGGGCATCACGTCGGACATGCCGTAGCGCAGGCGGGACGAGGGGAACAGGGTGCTGCTGGGGCTGAACAGGCTGGAGGCACTGCTGGCACTGCGGTACTTGGCCTCGGCGCCCGGGGCCGCCGAGATGTAGCGCCCGCTGCCGTTCGTCAGCCCCCCTGCGCGGGACACAAGCGGGGCCAGCGTCAGTCCCAGCGTCATTCCCAACCATCCCGCTTCCCAGCCACTCCCTGCCCACCACACGGGCTCTCTGATGTACAGCCAGGTGGAATTCCCTCACAGAAAGGGGGGATGGACACTGGAATTGCTGCCTCGCTCTAATTCCCGCTGTTTGTGTACCGCCCGCTGCTGCTGGTCAGACACGGACATAACGAGGGGGATTGTCATTCCCAACCATCTGAATCCTGGTTACTCATTTTCCACCCTGATGGGTTACTGACAGCCAGCCAGGCAGGGATCCTAGGTAGAATTCCTTCACAGAAAGGGTGGTTAGACATCAGAAAGCGCTGCCTCACCCTAATCCCCACTATTTATAGGAAAAAACCCTTGGTCTGTTTATTTTTGACAGCCCCACTGATAACCTAATTTGCATTTGATTCCAAAGACTTTGCTTGACAGGAAGAAGAAAGTAACATCAGTGATGATAATTTGTGTATTTTTCTAACATACAGCTCTCTGTTATAGATTAGCAGAGCTACAGCCCCTTCTGGTGCAGTTAAACTGGGTGTATCCCTTGCCAGACATCTCCATTTAATGACGTGGCACTCAGCGCTCTGGGTTGGGGAACAAGGTGGGCACTGGGCACAGGGGGGACTCCATGGGCTGGGAGGGCTTTTCCAACCTCAAGGACTCTGGGATTCTGTGAAGTTTCCCATCAAAACTCGTTCCAAAGCGCCCAACAGAGGATTTGGTTGGTGGGGTGCGCTCGGAGGGGACAGCGGTGTGGGGTCACCCGACAGGGGACAGTAAAAGTTGAACTCGATGATCTTGCAGATCTTTTCCAACCTAAATGACCCTATTTTAGGATTCCTAACAAAGCTGAGGCAGCTGCCCCCAAAATAATTTAGATGGGAATGTGTCCAAGATCACTCCTCAGTATGGCACTGCTGGATTAAATCAGGAACAGCAACAAACTGCAGCAAAGGACTTTGATGATCCTGGTGTGTCCCTTCCAACTCAGGATCTTCTCTGATTCTCTGACTCTATTTAGTGACATGGAATCTACAACTGTGATTCTATGACAGACTGAAACAAGCCTTGTTCCTTGCTCTGTTTCCAAACTGTCTGAGCCAGTCCAGTGTCAATCCCATCACTCCCACTTTTGGCTAATTCGCTCTTTCCAATGACCTTCACCTCCATCCTCAGGTTTTTCCCACCTATCCTGCTGCTGTGCCAAGGACTGATTTGAAAGAAGAGTATTGGGGGTGGGGGACAGAATTAAGGCAACATAGATAAGGACAAGGCAAGTATAAAAACTGTGGATAAAAAACTCCAAATCACTATTAAATACGGGTGAATAACAATAAATTAAAACCAATAGAGTTTAAAATCCTGTGCTTTCACAAATGGCCTGAATATCTGCAGCGAGGTTGAGAGAGATGCTGTGTTACCCCAGAACATGAATAAGGGGAACTGGTGATGGTTCATCACACGGGGAGCAAAGTGAATGGTTGACAGGAGCCAACCTAAACCTTCCAACGCTGTTTCCTTGTCGGTGACTTTCCAGGATGTCTTTCAGTGCTGAGCAGAGCACTCCTCCCTCTCCTGCAGGGCTCGGGATCCCTCTGCTGGTCACAGAGAACAGGAGGAGCCAGCAGGGATTTTCCTGGATGGAAGGAAGTCCTCCCAAGAAAAAGGTCCTTATGACATGGGAAGCTGCCACCTGCAAGGCCTGGGTGAGGCAGGGGGGAAAATCCCAGGGAAATAAAGCTCCCAGGAGTCCGTGCCAAGGAGGGAAGATCTTCAAGGAAAGCTGGGCAGGGCTGGCTGCACAGAACAGACCTGCTCCTGGCAATGACAGGGGCTGGAATTCAAATATTAAATAAAAGAGGGCTGAGGGAGCTGCACTCCTTGGCCATCGACACCTGAAGGAAGATCCCATGCAGGAAACACCACATGAGAATTGTGGATCTGGTAACAGCCTGATTAATTATTAATTATGACCTCTGTGAGTGCCTTACAACTGAGGATATTCTGTGATTCTACATGTCTGAGGTGGGCAAATGCCACTCTGGAGCTGATACCAAACCTGCCCTTTCCTGAGGAAGAGACCTGAGAGCTTCATGCTCAGCTCTTTGCTGCCTTGGCCATCACCTCCTTCCTCTGGGACTCCTCAACTGAGCAACAGCTCTGAAAAGCCCCCTGGTGATATTCCCTGCTGCTGGAAAGCCCAGGATTTTCAAAGGACAAGAAAGCACCTCTGAGGTAAAGGAGATCCAGCAGAGACAAGCTGAGCAATGGGGCACTGACACTTCCCACGGCATTTGAAGATCTCAGAGTTATCACTTGTTTGAAAGCCTGGAGCAGAAGCCAGGAGTGGAAGTGGAAAACTAGTTCCTGATCTCTGCAAATGGCTGGGAGAGGGGAGGGTTCAGCACTCAGGCTCTGATCTCCTGGGCCTTATCTCTCAGTTAAGAGAGAAAGCACAGCCTGTACAGAAAATCTGTCAGGGGTTTCTGAGAAATCCACCATCATTTGGAGATTCAAAATAAACCACAAATCACTTCAGTTTTCCAACCAACTCTCTCTCCCGATGGAAATGGTGACTGGAGGTCTGTCCATGATGTTAAACATCATCCTGTCAACAACTCCTCCTCTGTGAGGGACAGAGTTTCTAAATCACACATTTCCTAAATTCTGAACCCCACCAGTCACCCAGCAAAGGCCAGAGATGTTGGGGTGTACCCAGCTCCTCTGTGCCAGGGTGTGGTTGGGAATGTGACTTGTTCAGATCCCAGATTTCAGTGGGATCTTATCAATACTTACAATGAAATTGCTCCTTCATCCCCCAGGCTGGGAGAGCTGGGGGGGTTTACCTGGAGCAGAGAAGGCTCCAGGGACACCTGAGAGCCCCTTGCAGGGCCTAAAGGGGCTCCAGGAGAGCTGGAGAGGGACTGGGGACAAGGGAGGGAGGGACAGGACACAGGGAATGGCTTCCCACTGCCAGAGGGCAGGGAGAGATAGATAGTGGAAAGGAATTGCTGGTTGTGAGGGTGGGCAGGCCCTGGCACAGGTTACCCAGAGAAGCTGTGGCTGCCCCTGGATCCCTGGAAGTGTCCAAGGCCAGGTTGGAGCAACCTGGGCTGGTGGAAGGTGTCCCTGCCCATGGCAGGGGGTGGAACAAGATGAGCCTTAAGGTCCCTTCCAGCTCTTCTGGGATTCTATGACTCAAGAGCAGGAGGTTGGTGGCTCCTCAAGCCCTTTGGGACACAAGAGTAGAAAAAAGTAGCTGGAATATGTCAGGAAAAATCTGTATCTGGGGAAGAGTAAGGGTCACAGATTCTGCTGGAGACTCCAGGGTGGACACACAACTCATAATCACTCCATGGCTTTTGAGCAGTTCCTATTCTGAACTGGTAACTCCTCTCAGGGCTTGCTGTGACTCTGGGGACAGACATTAACCTGGAAAAATTACTGATTCCAGGGGGGAAAAAAAGGCACAATGAGAGGATGAGCCAAAAAAAAAAGAAATCACAAGGGAAGCAACACAAAAGCTGCTGTATGAAGACAAAGCACTTTTTAAGCAAGACTTTTATAAGGTCCTCAAATTGCTCTGCAAGGGAGGAGTTCTTGGAATGAGGAATGTGAGAACAATGGGGAACAAGGAAGATGAGAAGATGGCTCTGTGGGAACAGAGGGGGAGCAGCCAGCCCTGCTGCTGTCCCTGCAGAGGAACCCCCAGGGCACTGCCCCAACCTGTCCCCCCAGGCAGCCCCACAGCCCTTCCAGTGGGTCACAGCCAACTGGTTAGCAACTCCTCAGCCAGTTTTCCCAAGGCATCTCTAATTTCCCACATGTCTGTATCCTTTTCCTCACACTGATCCTGCCTTTTAAGTGACAGGCTGACTACAGGATGGGGCAGCTCTCACCCAAGCAGTTCCTGCAAGAATAGCACACAATTAAAATCATTACTTATCTACTGATCCCCATTCCAAACTGGGGTTAAACCCAGAGCCAGACACATCCAGCCCCCGTGTATTGGGATCACACCAGCCATATACACAAGGGCTGACAAAATCTGCTTGTGGGACTGCAGATGACCATGGAATGGTTTGGCCTGGAAGGGACCTCAAAGATCACCCAGTCCCATCCCCCTGCCATGGGCAGGGACACCTTCCACCAGACCTGGCTGCTCCAACCTGGCCTTGGACACTTCCAGGGATCCAGGGGCAGCCACAGCTTCTCTGCCCAACCTGTGCCAGGGCCTGCCCACCCTCCCAGGGAACAATTCCTTCCCAATATCCCATCTCTCCCTGCCCTCTGGCAGTGGGAAGCCATTCCCTGTGTCCTGGCACTCCATGATCCAATGTAACCTGTCCAACAATAAATTAAATAATTAAAACCCCACGCATTCAGTAATTTAAAATCTCTAACCGTGATCAGTCCTGGGTTAGCAAAGCCCCTGTGCTGCCTTTAGCACCCAAAGGCGTGTATTTATTTACAGCTGCTTTACCCCAGCCATGCACAGCTGAGCACTGAATCCACCTTGGAATACCAGGCACAGAATTAGCTCAGCCCTTCGCCTCCTCCAGCAGCTCTTCCTCTAAGAACTGCCTGGGTGGTTATTTCAGGTACTTGTGATTTGCCCAGACATTTCACAAGGTCACTTTATAGCACCAGAATAAAAAAAAACAAAACAGCTCAGCTTGATAAATCCACACCATTTTTCACAACTCTGAGCTCTCAGGGAGTCAGGAGAGCCGGAGTTGGCTCTTTCCACACATCACCAACCCAAGGAGTGATTGACTCACACACCATGAGACATGACAAAGTCAAACCCACAACTCACACTGCATTTAGGCAGGGACTTGCTGATTCCAATTCAGGTTTAATGCCAACCGTGTGTCACTGTGTAACCCTGAAAACAAGAGTTTCTTGAAGTGCCTCCCCCAGGTTGTCTCCCCCCACACAGCCCAGGCAGGACGTGGTTCTAAACCCCACTGCTCTTATTTCCCTCAGTGCAAACAACACATTTGGGTGTTCCCATCTGTCCCTTCTGTTCTAGATATTCAGAAACTACCCTCATCCTCCTGATCCCAACCTACTGCTGGTATCACTCCCAAATGGAAAAGGAGTTTTTTATAAGGAAAAACAACGTCTGTGCTGTCCTAGAATCATGGAGTGGTTTGGGTTGGAAGGGACCCCAAAGATAATCTCACTGCAAACCCTGCCATGGGCAGGGACACCTTCCACTGGCCCAGACTGCTCCAACCTGGCCTTGGACACTCCCAAGGATGGATTCAGGGGCAGCCACAGCTTCTCTGCCCAACCTGTGCCAGGGCCTGCCCACCCTCACAGCCAGCAATTCCTTCCCAATCTCCCATCTCTCCCTGCCCTCTGGCAGTGGGAAGCCATTCCCTGTGTCCTGTCCCTCCATGCCTTGTCCCCAGTCCCTCTCCAGCTCTCCTGGAGCCCCTCTGGGCACTGCAAGGGGCTCTCAGGTCTCCCTGGAGCCTTCTCTACCCCTCTGGAATCATCAAACCTTATTTTATAACCAAAGGAAACTACAACTCCACTACAGGTGAAAGAGAAACTTAAGGAAAGTCAAATGATCTTTCATGGATTTTAAGGTGAACCCCCCCTCAGATTCAGAGCTACTCCAGGTGAGATTTCACTTGCAGCATCCCCAAGCACAGATTCAGCCATGGAGGGCACCTGACTCCAAGTGGAGGAGTATTTTGGGAAGCTGGGAAACCCCACACTGACCCTCTGGGGCACAACCCATTTATGTGAGTGTTAACTCCAGTGTCTGTCCAGAGTTTGTACCCAAACAGATCAACCTTCCTCTGATCCAGCTTTTAAGATCCATTCTTTTGTTTGCTGCAGGGGCAACTGATTTTTTTCCTAAGTGCCAGATGTGGAATCTGGTCCCTCCTCAGCACTAATTTATTGTGGCCATTTACCTGTCAGCCCAAGGACTGAACAGCTGCATAAATAAAGCTAAAACCCTCCCAAGTTCTATGAAAGCTCTGAACAAGCACGACTAAATCTAAATCTGATCTCAAAAAATCACATTCATTCCTATTCCAGCTAAACTATAGCCAGCATCAAATTTATCACACATGCATGTAATAAACATGATAAATACAGTGTTTGCTGAGGGTGTATGTGCCTGGAAAACTGGTTTGATAGCCAAAAGTTTTGTTAAATCCAGCAGATACATGACAGAACAACAAAAAAAAAAAGTGGTGGTTTTTTTTTTTGAGCAAATGCTAAATTACCTGGTGCAGGTGCAACAAATAACCTATTTTGTTTATTTATGAGGAAATAACACTTCAGGAGGTTCAGATGAGCACTGCTTTATTATTTAATATCTGCTTTATTTATTTTAAAGATTTATTTATTGTAAGAGCTCTGGGCCAAGCAGAAGCTCTTCCAGAAGGTGCAGCTGGTGTCAAGTCACGTATCTGACCAAAATTAAGAGGATTTCTACCTGGCACTAAAATGGGCCTTTTGAAAAGGCCACATTGATGGGGAATTTCCCAAAGCAAACTCCCCAAATCCTCAGCTAAAAACTGAGCACTGCTCCAGACAAGACTGGTTAAAAGCAGAGACTGTATTTCAAGCTCATTATTGCTGTAAATTTAATGGGTATTTTAAAACATCCCATTTAGAACCATTTAAGTCAAAGGCTCAAGCCCTCCATGTTTTACTCAATAAGCAGCTGGTGCTGTTACCAAGATCTGTGCAGGAAAAACCTGTTTTTCAAACACTTGGAAGTGTCATCCATAGTTTTCAGCTGAGGCAAAGCAGAAACCTCCTGTCCACAGAGGAATCAGTGCAAGGGACAAACACACCATGAGGGTTGGACTCGGTATTAAAGGTCTTTTTCCACCTAAATGATTTCTATGATCCTACACAGCTCCTGCTTCAGTGTTTCACCTACTCCCTGTGCAAAAACAGGGAATGAAGGCAGCAGGAATCCCCCCCTCCCCAGCACTGGGATGTTCCCACCTTGCCCAAGGAGAGCAGAGCAGGGACTGGGACAGCATCTCTTACCCAGGTTTAGACTCGAAGATGATCCATGTGAAGACAAGGAAGGCGGAGGGGTCTGGGAGTGGCCAGGCCCTTGGCTGGGCAGAGGCATTCCCACAGGGCCAGGAGAGGAGGAGAAGCCAAGGCCATTATAAAAACTGTGTCCTATGGGTGTCAAACTGCTGGATGTCCTCTTGTACAGGTCACTGCTGCCTGTCAGGGAGTCCCGGCGGGAGCCGCTGCCCGTGTTGGAGTTGGCGACTGGAAAGAGGAGAAAAAGAGAGGTGTGTGATGCCAACGAGCTGCCTGAGACACCTGGGGAGCCACCTGGAACAGCTCCACCTGTTCTCCTGCAGGTGTTGCAAGTGCCCAGGTGAAATGCGTTCATTAATCCTCATGCTCAAGCAGAAATTCTTGGCTTAAAAAAAAACCAAAACAAAACAGCTTAGACCCCGTCTTTGCATTTATGGCTTTGTAGGTTTTACACTGATAGAACACATAAAAAACCACAGCTCCAAAAAAACCCTACAAGATCAAAAGATTAAAAAAAAAAAAAAATCTACCTAATGTAAGTGACCCACGGTTTTGGACACAAACACTGAGCACTTCTGGGCCTTCAGGAGAAGGTTTGGAATCCTCCACGTTTGTTTTTTTTTTCCCCCAGAGAACATCCTTCAGTTTAACACCAGATATCAGATCACCCTACAAGCACTGCCTCGTGTTTGTTCTCGGCCATTAGAGCTAAAACAAACCCAACACGAGATTTTATCAGTGTTTATTTAAGAGCATGTCCAGCTTTGTGTACATTTACCTGCAATCCTTGTGCTCACCCCTTCATTAGATTAGAGAACAGCTCCTGTTTGCCCTGAGCTTTATGGAGATGGAAATCAGAATTCAATTTAACACACAAACCCAATGGTTTTTAAGAGCTGCCTTGATAGGCAAACTCTTTAAATGCACTGTCAACTTGAGAGGAAAAAAAATCAATTTTGCATTAAAATCTTGTTTAATAAATAGCGAAATTCTTAACTGTAATGAACTAATAATTTTTCATGACTGCACACGAGCTCTAGAAGCAGCAGGATCACAGTTTTATTCATTGATTGAGGGAAAATAAGTTTGTGAATCTTGGCACTGAGCAAACCAAGTAATGGAATTCAATTAATTAAACAAACTGAGGTGAAAGAGGCAAATGCTGTGTTTACCTCAAACCAAGACGGTTCAAATTCTCAGGCTGGGCTTAAGAAAAATATTTAGAGTAAGTTTTTATTTAAAACTGTTATTCTGTGTAGTGACTGGACGCCCCTCAGCCTGCTCTGATGGAGCAGCTCCAAAGGCACGTTTGAACTTGTCCTTCACACTGATGAAAGCAGGAAAGTTCAGGACATAATTACTGCCCTGAGAACGAGCAGTAATTAAAACAATTGTTCCACTTCAAAAAAACCCCAAACCTAAGGGAAAAAAAAACCCCAAACACAACACCCAACCCACAGACATCTCCCTGGTTTGATCTGGTTTGGTTCTGAAAGAAATCCTGGTCTCCAACTGCCTAAAACCAACTCAGACCATGGATGGGACGTTTCTTGCAACCACAGTATGTGACTCTTTTGGTGTGTAATGGACACAATTCCCAGAATAAGGCATGGAAACCACCTCAGATCAGCTTTGTAAAATCCTGAGAAGTTTCTTAGCCTTTTTTCAGAGGTAAGAGACAACACAGCGGGTGGATACACTCCTTCTGGAGCCAATTCCTGCTAGTCCAGTATCCCCACCAAGCACAGGCAGGGGAAAAAATACTTAACAAGGGGCCAACTGGTAATGTGCATAACAAAACAAGTTAATTACTTCGGTGCTTCTAATTATCATCCACTAAAAGAACTTTCACCAGAAAGTGCTGCAGATTTTCAAAGCCCTAAGTAGGCCCTGGAGGAAAATTTCCACTTAGCCTTGGATGGATGAGGAGAGCTCAGCTCAGGAGCTCAGAGTCCCAGCTCCAGTGGATTCCCAGGCCTCTCTGCTGCTCTCCTTTCCACCTGGAAGCAGCTGCTGTCCTTACCTGCCGTCCCAAATCCTCCCAGTGCCGAGCCCAGCGTGGCCCCCAGGGAGCTGCTGCTCCCGAAGCCCAGGGAGGTGTTGGCAGGCTGGGCAGAGCCCTGAGAGAAGAGGGAGCTGCTCTGGGAATTGCTGCTGAGGGAGTTGTTGCCGTAGAAGGAGCTGGAGGCCAGGTTGTTGGTGGGCTGCTGTTGGGGTTGGGGCTGGGGCTGCTGCGTTCCCAGAGGCCGGAATGGTCCGTTGGTTGTCCCTGCCAGCCCTCCTGCCGCTCCGTTGGCCGAGGCCGCGGCCGCCGCGACCGCTGGAGGAGAAGCAGTTGGAGAAATTACTTTAAAAAGGCTGAAAAAAAAGCCTAAAAGAATCCTTTTTCATCACAGTTTCACTTAAAACTCATCAGGTTCCTTATAATTATTACAGGTTTGTTTCTGGTTTTTTTTCTTCCAGGATGAAAATCTCCCTCTCGCACCAAACTCTTTATTTATTTCCCACCCGAGCTCTCCAAGTCTCGCCCAGAGCCCCCAAACACCAGCAATGCGCAGCTGTTATTGCTGATGCTTGTGTTGTTCTTGCTCCACAGATCAAACACAAATGGTCCCCCTCTCCCAAGATCCCAGCTTCCACACTTGCTGACACAGTCCCACACTTGCAAGAGTTCCCTTAAGAAACACGAGTTTTAGAATCGGTGAAACTGTTCTTCAGCACATGAAATCTGCAGTGCCAAGAACATCCAACCCGAGGGCTCTTGTTTTTCAGCCAGTTCCAAAGTAAAAGAAAAAGCAAAATAAACAAGGGCTACAGGGAAACAATTAAAAGGCCCGTTTCATAATCTATTGCTAACACTGGCTTACACACGGATTCTGGCTGGAGAAGTCCTTTTAAAGCCTTGAACTCCCAAGGAACCCTAATAAATCCCAAAACAGCTCATGGCAAAGGCCAGGCACGGACCATTTTAGGCAAGGTGATCATTTCATAGAATGTGTATCATGGACTGGTTTGGGTTGAAACGAAAATTAAAGCCCATCCCATTCCACCCCTTGCCATGGGCAGGGACACCTTCCCCTAGCCCAGGTTGCTCCAAGCCCCATCCAACCTGGGCTTGGACACTTCCAGGGATCCAGGGGCAGCCACAGCTTCTCTGGGCAACCTGGGCCAGGGCCTGCCCACCCTCACAGGGAAGGATTCTTTCCCAATCTCCCATCTCTCCCTGCCCTCTGGCAGTGGGAAGCCATTCCCTGTGTCCTGTCCCTCCATCCCTTGTCCCCAGTCCCTCTCCAGCTCTCCTGGAGCCCCTTTGGGCCCTGCAAGGGGCTCTCAGCCCCCCCTGGAGTCATCTGAGAATCCTACACAGGCCAAAAGCTTTAGCAGGTGGGAAAGCAGGTCCAGCAGACAAATTTCAATAACCATCACAAAGCTCTATGAAATAATTTGAGCTCCTGCTCCCCTCCCTCTCTGAGGGAGCTCTGAAGGCTCAGCCCGAGTGAGCACACAGGACGTTCTCAACAACAATCCCCGCACGGATCTCAGTGAGGGCAAGTGTGTCATCACAGCCAGCAGAGCCCCAGAGGGTCTGGGGTTGGGGACAGGGCAGCTGTCACCTGGAGGGGCCAGGACTCACCTGCCTGGGCTGCAGAGGAGCTGATGATGACGGGGGCAGGGGCCACGAGGCGCACGGGGGCCCCCAGGCCGTTCCTGGCGCCGGCGTTCACCACGAGGGCCCCGGTTTGGTCGTAATAAGCAGCAGGAGCCAGCACTGGGTACCCTGCAGGGGCAAAGCACAGGTGAGGGGACAAGCAGGGCAGCACCTGGCAGGTCCAGCATCTCCACAGGACCACGGGACAACACCGTTTTTAAAGGAAATCTGAGGGGAAAAGGAAAAAGCAACAACAGCCCTGCTACTCTTGAAAAGTAAAAATTTAAATCCACATTGAAGTCCTTGGCTTTATAATAAGCAAGACTTTCAGGTAGAGAAGAATTTTTTCCTCCCCAAACCTACTGGCATTGCCCTCTGTGTAAATTCAGTTATACAGATCAAAAAAAAGGGGTTAAAATAAAAAAACCCCCACTATTTCTTTTAAAAGTACACCTCGTGCTGGGACCTTTCAGGTCTGTGAACACCCTGCATGTCCAAGTCCCCTGCTCTGTCAGGGTGCACACACTTGGAAGTTATATATTTTGGAAGGTAGGTATCACAAATCATTCTTAAATATATATAAATAAACACTTTAAAATATGCTGGTGATACACACAGCAGCACACTGTCAGTAGTATATAGTGATTTAGGTACCTTGCTATAGAGTTCTAATTAAATAGAGACATTCAAATTAAATACAGGGCTTCTTCAAGGTGAGGGGAGGTCACAAAGAGAAAGTTCTCTGTAAGCATTTGCCTTGCAAATATAGATATACACACATATATAAACATATATAAATGTATACTTGCTTTTCCAATATAACCCCAATAACAGATTTAAGGAAATTTGCAGCTTGCTGGAAACACGCACGTTACAGTTCACTTTGTAACTTAATACAGCAACATTCTTCTTAAACCATTAAAACGCCACATTTACAACCACGTGACACTTCCAGCAAAGAGACCCTGAAGTCCAAAATAATCCTTTTTCCTTACATTTGACCAGCACATTATTCTAAAAGGTGCTTAGGTTTGTCCTCTGCCATTACAATAAATACTCTGAATAACTGAATGTCAAAAGCAGCCTCGTGGATCAGAATGAGAATTCCTACAGCAGCTCCTCTCAGGAAGAACTATAAATTAGAATTAAACCTGCCTCTTTTTATCCCTTTTCTTTTCCTGTTTTTAAGCAATTAGAAAGAAGCAATGCTGAAGGGGAAGTCCCTGACCTGAGCAAGTCAAGCACTGGGCAGGGATGGAGAGCCAAGATGACTGAACAGGACCAAGATCCCTCGGAGGTTTCAAAGGCAGATCCCACAAGCTCGAACGAGCCAAGGGAAAATCCGAAGGCAATTTTCCAATTCTTTGGAATACACACACAACTAATGCACCTGCACAGTGGATAAGAGTTGTTTTCACCTGGTTCTGAGGTTTTATGCTGCAGAGGTGGTTGGGGTAACATCGAAACCCCTCCTATACCCACGGACTGAACCCTAAACTGACAGAAACAAACACCTCTGAATTCCAGGCAAACAAGACATATGGAGACATGAGATCCAATTTCCTGGCTCTCCCAGGGCCCTGGAGAAGCTGTTCCTGCCCTGGCCATACCTGGCATTCCCGCTGCCAGCCCCTGGCCGAAGGCGAGGGCGGAGTTGACGGCGGCTGCGGCCACCAGTGGGTCCGTCTGCTGGCCCTGCTGGTTCTGATTGGGGGTCAAGGGACGCTGGCTGGCTCCTCCACGGAGAACCTGCAGAGACAGAGGAACATCCAGGTGTTTATTTTGGGGCCCAGGAGCAAGTCACCATCACCAGGCACTCACAGGAGCAGCAGGAACAATCTGGTTGAAGGTGTTGCACCAGTAATGGGTGACACCCTTGACTCCCCCTCACTCTTCATCAACTTTTCTTGATATTTTTTGATATATGAGAAGGACATTGAGGGGCTGAAGTGTGTGCAGGGAAGGGAATGGAGCTGGGGAAGGGGCTGGAGCAGCTGGGGGCGCTCAGCCTGGAGAAAAGGAGGCTCAGGGGGGACCTTCTGGCTCTGCAATCCCTGACAGGAGGGGGGAGCTGGGGGGGGGTCGGGCTCTGCTCCCAGGGAACAGGAGGAGAGGGAACGGCCTCCAGTTGTGCCAGGGGAGGCTCAGGTTGGATATTGGAAAAATTCTTTGCTGAAAGGGTGGTCAGGCCTTGGCAGGGGCTGCCCAGGGAGGTGGTGGACTCTCCACCCCTGGAGGTGTTCAAAAATCATGTGGATGTGCTGCTTGGGGATGTGGTTTCAGTGTGGACCTGCCAGTGCTGAGTGAATGGTTTAACTCAACGATCTTTAGAGGGCTTTTCCAACCTTTCTAACTATGATCCAACCTTCAATACTCATCCTTGGATGGAAGTGTTTACAAGCCATCTACCCACCCCAGGTAACATCTGGTCTCTGGTAAAGGGACCTCTTGAGCAGAAACCTTAAAAAGCCCAATTTAGGAGATGAGGCCGATGACATGAGGTGACCTGGGTTTTTCCAAGCTACCAGCTCCTCTAGAAAACAACGACCTGGTGACACAACACTTACTCCTGGGAAATAATGACCAAAGAGCCCACACTGGGTTGTGTCTGGAGGAGCTCTCGTGGTGCTCTCAAAGGGATGATGGCAAAGTGCCCTTTGCTGTA